CTTTCTTCCGGCTCAAGCCGAAAAGATAATTTCCGGTTCGCGATGTTGGCGCTCCTTGCAAACACAGGGCGCACCAGCAGATCATGACGCCAGGGTTCGAGTGCACTGCTGGAAAAACATCGCGTATGCCTGAGGCGCCTGCACCGCCGTTTTCTCAAGATATCCGTTCTTCAAATGGGTTGGCGCGACCAGAAACTCGAGTCGAGTTGCCATGAATATGGAAACGATTTCATATTTCCGTTGACACGTTCCACAGGCTTCGATTATGAAAACATGGTAACGTTTCCATAATGAGTGCATTGGAGAAATTTCAATATGAAAGCTGCGCGCATCAACCGTCTCTTTGGCATGTCCGGGAATTGTTTCGACGTCGCCATTGATCACGGAATGTTCAATGAAAAATCCTTCCTTGGAGGGATAGAGAACATGGCGGCAGCCGTTGAAGTCGTTGCGAAGGCTGCCCCGGATGCCATTCAACTTCCCCCCGGCACCGCTCCACTGCTGCAAGCCCGGCCCGGCAAGGACCGGCCGGCACTCGTGCTGCGCACCGATGTTGCGAATGTTTACGGCACGCCACTGCCGACGGTGCTGTTTTCAGAAGTGATCGACCAACCTGTAGAGCAGGCTGTCCGACTTGATGCGGCTTGCGTCGTCGTCAATCTGCTCAGCTTGCCGGATCAACCCGAAGTCTATCGTCAATGCGTTCGAAACATAAACGGGCTGAAACATCTTTGCGATCTGGCCTCCATGCCGTTGATGGTCGAACCGCTGGTGATGCAAGACAATGCCAGGGGCGGTTACATGGTCGACGGTGATCTGGACAAGATAGTGCCCCTGGTCCGTCAGGCCGTCGAACTTGGTGCGGATATCATCAAGGCGGACCCCTGCACCGATGTCAGCCAGTATCACAGGGTGATCGAGATCGCCCAGGGTGTACCCGTTCTGGTGCGCGGCGGCGGCAAGGTTACAGACGAGGAAATCCTTACCCGTACATCGGAGCTGATGGTTCAGGGCGCACGCGGCATTGTCTACGGCCGGAATGTGATCCATCACCAAAAGCCTGCGGAAATGACGCGCGCGCTGATGGCCATCGTTCACGACGGTGCTTCGGTTGCCGATGCACTGGCATTGGTGGCTTGATCATGCAGACCATCCGATTTGGCATTGTCGGTTGCGGCCTGATGGGGCGGGAATTTGCTTCAGCCGCCGCGCGCTGGCTGCATCTGACGGAGAGCCGTGCACGTCCTGAAATCGTCGGTGTTTGCGACACGTATGAAGCCCTTATGGGTTGGTTTTCAACCCATCTGCCGAATTTGAAACAGACAACAACGGACTTTCGGGAACTTCTGGCAAACCCCGACATAGACGCAATCTACTGCGCGGTGCCGCATTCCCTGCATGCAGACTTCTATCCGCAGATAGTTGCTGCGGGAAAACACCTGTTGGGCGAAAAGCCCTTTGGCATGGATGCCGGGCAAAATGCGACCATAACCAAAGCGATAGCCGACCACCCCGGCGTCCTGGTCCGCTGTTCCTCTGAAATGCCGTATTTCCCTGGCGCGCAACGGGTCATCGAATTCGGTCGCTCAGGCGCGGTTGGCGACATCCTGGAGGTGGAATCCGGGTTCTTGCACTCGTCGGATCTCAATCCCGACAAGAAAATCAACTGGAAGCGGATAGCCAGCGTCAATGGCGATTATGGCTGCATGGGTGATCTCGGCATGCATGTCTGTCACGTGCCCCTTCGTCTCGGCTGGAAGCCCTCATCTGTGCATGCAAGCCTCGTCAACCGGGTCACCGACCGCCCCGACGACAAGGGAAACAGGGTTCCCTGCGATACATGGGACAACGCCACAATAACCGGCAGCGTTGAAATGCCCGGCGGCACCTTTCCTCTCGTTCTGAAAACATGGCGAATTGCACCGGGTGAATCGAATACCTGGTCCCTGCGGGTGCTCGGCATGAAAGGCTCGGCCCTGTTCACCACCAAATCGCCGCGGCAGTGGCAGTACATGCACTACGAGGCCGGTGGCGCACAGGCCTGGCAGGTCGAGGATCTGGGCTATCAATCCCTGTTTCCAGCAATCACCGGCGGCATTTTTGAATTCGGATTTGCGGATGCCATTCAGCAGATGTGGGCTGCATTCATCGATGAACTGGCTGGTGGCGATGCGCGCGGTTTCCCCTGTGCCACCCCGGCCGAAGCGGCTGATCACCACGCCATATGGAATGCTGCGCTGGCGTCGGGACGAACCGGTCAGGTCCAAGACGTGGAATACAGCCAATGAACCGCTCCGAGATCAATCAGGCGCTCAGGGCGGCTGAAGAAACACTCGCCCGGTACAGCTGGGCCTTGCCGGACTGGGCATGCTGGTCGGTTGACGATCATCGCGTGAACGCGAGCCAGAGCAAATGGCTGCGGGACCGGCAACTCGGATGGGATGTCACCGATTTTGGGTCCGGTGCGTTCGCGGACCGCGGCCTGACACTGTTTTGCGTCCGCAATGGTACGCGATCGCCGGGCGAACGACCCTATGCAGAAAAGTTGCTTTTTGTCGGCGTGGATCAGGAAACACCGTTTCACGCGCACAAACAGAAGCTTGAGGACATCATTGTCCGCGGTGGCGGGACGCTTTGCCTCGAGTTGATACCGGATGGCGCAGTTCTGGAAACAGCCGGGACAACTGTCCGGATCGATGGCATGCCTGCGCCCATGTTCGGTCATGTTCACCGATTGACGGCAGGTCAGAGCATTACGGTTCCACGCGGGGTCCAGCACCGGTTCTGGGGTGAAAAGGCACCCGTCTTTGCAGCCGAGGTAAGCCAGTGCAACGATGACCTGACCGACAACTATTTCCTGGAGCCGTTAGGGCGTTTCAGTGAAATCCTCGAAGACGAGCCACCCTATCGCCAGCTCTGGAATGAGGTTGGGTGATGGCCGGTGGTCGCGGTGTGATTTGTGCAGGCAACTGGATCGTGGACATCATTCACGACATTCCGGAGTGGCCGGCAAAGTCGGATCTGGTCGTGATCACCGGGCAGACCGTCGGAGTGGGCGGCGGAGCTGCCAACGTCGCGTTTGATCTCGCTGCCCTCAAGAGCGACTACCCGGTTCTGCCCGTCGGATTGCTGGGTCAGGACGAGCATGGCGAGACCGTGCTTCAACACTGCCGGGCTGCCGGACTGAGTGTTGACTATCTCCAGTCGGTTCGCGAACTGCGTACGGCACACACTCATGTGATGAATGTCCCGGGTGACAGCCGCACCTTCTTCTATCACCCCGGAGCCAATTCGCATCTGGGCGTCGACAATCTGCCTATCGGTGCAATGGCTGCGCACGGTCCGCGGATCTTCTATCTGGGTTACCTGAACCTTCTGCCGCGTCTGGATGCCGTTGGATCTGATGGCCGCACTGGTGCTGCCGGAATTCTGGCGCAGGCACGGCGTCTGGGGATGCTGACTTGTGTGGATCTGGTGTCATCACTCAACGATAGCTATCGCGAGATTGTCTTTGGAACATTGCCGGAAATTGACTGGTTGTTCCTGAACGAGACGGAAGCCGCGCGCGCCACCGGCGTTCCTCTTGAAGGTGAAGCTGACCGGGAAAACATGGCGCTTGCAGCCACGCGGCTGTTGGAAGGCGGATTGCGGCAGGGATGCATCCTGCACACACCCAGACTTTCGCTCTGGAAAACGGCTGATCAGGAGCTCTGGTTCGACGTGCCGCAGCTTCCCAGATCGCAAATCATCAGCCCGGTCGGCGCAGGCGACGCGTTCGCGGCCGGCATTTTGCACGGATTGCATGAAAGCTGGCCCGCGCACGAATGCGTCCAGCTCGGAAACAAAATGGCCGCAGCATGCCTGCGCTCGCCAACGGCAACGGGAGGTATTCCTGCATTGAATCAGCTTTGACGCCCCGGGAGGCGGCGTTGCAGCCGATCAGTCACACGTAACATTGAATCTTAAAGGGAGGAAACGACGATGAAAATGAGCAAGAGAATTTTCCTGGGAGCATCTGCACTGGGCCTCACCATGGCAGTTGCAGGGTCCGCCCTGGCGCAGGATCAACGTGTCATCGCAAGTATTGTCTTTCAGGGCGACCAGTTCATGAAATCGCTGCAGCAAGGTGTACGCGAAGCCGCGGAAGCCCGGGGGGCAGAAGTGCTGGAATTGAACATTGATGGTGACCAGGCACGAGAGGCGCAGGCCATCGACACGTATATTTCTCGTGGTGTCGATGCAATTGTCATAGCGCCTTTGTCCGCCACCAATTCGGCAGGATCCCTGAAACGTGCTCGAGACGCGGGGATCACGGTTGTTGCCTTGAACGGCGGCCTGCAGGACAAATCCATCGCAAATGCGACTTTTTCGACTGCAAACTATGATCTTGGTGCGTCTTCCGGCAATGCAGCGGCCGCGTTCATCAATTCCGAACTCGGTGGCGAAGCACAGGTCGGCATAATGGCCTTCTCAAGCCTGCTTCCTGAACAAAGCGGCGCGCGCACCGGCGGGTTCAAGGATGCGGTATCCAAGGGCAACACCGTTACGGTCGTGACGGAACAAGATGCCTGGATGCCTGAAAAGGCCGTGCAGGTCGCCACAGACATGTTGACGGCAAACCCGCAGATCAATCTGCTGTATGCGGCAAATGAGGGCGGCACGGTGGGTGCGATGCAGGCGGTTCGCAATGCCGGCAAGGCGGGCAAGGTTTATGTGTTCGGCATTGACGGCTCGGAGCAACTCGCGCGTGGATTGATGGCCGGTGACAATGTCCTGCAGGCGACCACCGCGCAGTCGGCAAAAGATATGGGTGCCATGGGAGCCAATGCTGCTCTCGACCTTCTGGAAGGTGGCTCGGCAGAGGCGGAAACATCCGTTCCCGCATTGTTGCTCAGCCGTGCCGATCCGGATGGCATCGCCGCATTCGTGGAATCCCTGAAGTAAGCCGGTTCGGCCCTTCGCCAGATATCATGGCGAAGGGCCGGCAAAGGATTTCCGCTATGAGTAACCTTCATTTTGAGGGCCTGACCAAGCATTACGGTGCTGTCAAAGCCCTCGATCAATTCACACACAAGTTTGAAAGCGGACAAGTTCATGCGCTGATCGGCAAGAACGGCTCGGGCAAAAGCACCTTCATCAAAATGCTCGCAGGCGCCATCCAGCCGACAGAAGGACAAATGTTCCTGGACGGCCGGAAACTGGAATTCCAGAGCCCTGGCGAAGCCAACAGCGCGGGAATCGTCACGGTTCATCAGGAACTGTCCCTTGTTCCCGGTCTCAGCGTTGCGGAAAACATTTACCTGGGCAGGCTGCCAAAGCGCGGCCTGTTGGTGAACTGGAAACAGCTTTATGACGATTCCAGATCATTGTTGGCCGAGATAGGAGCCGAAATGATCGACCCGCGCGCGACAACAGGTGATCTGTCGATCGGGCGCCAGCAGATCGTCGAAATCGCAAAGGCGATGAGCCTGTCGCCAAAGATCCTGTTGCTTGATGAACCGACATCGGCACTGGCCCATGCAGAGGTCGGGCAATTGTTCGCACTGGTCGATCGTTTGCGGACGAGCGGTGTCACGATCATCTATATTTCCCACCGCCTCGCGGAATTGCCCAGAATTGCAGATACCGTCACTGCGATCCGCGACGGAACGCTGATCGGCTCGGTGGCAATCGACCAGGCAAGCCCCAAGGTAATCCTGGACATGATGTTCGGCGAGTTGCCGCCTCTCCAACGACCGACCCGCCATATCGACAAAACGCATTCGGCCCTGTCGGTGCGCGATCTCGAACTGGCTCCATTCTTCAAGGGCGTCTCGTTTGACCTGCATCACGGTGAAGTTCTGGGAATTGCAGGAATGCTTGGGTCCGGACGCACCGAGTTGCTGCACACGATTTTCGGGGCGCGGCGTGCGGATGCAGGCAGGATCGCGGTCAAGGGCAATACAGTGTCCAACCCGTCGATCGCTACCATGAAGGCAGCAGGCATCGGATACGCTTCGGAGGATCGGAAGGCGTCAGGGCTTGTACAATCTGCAGCAAGTCACGCCAATTTGTGTCGCGTCGGGCAGAAGCGGATCGCACCCAGCGGCTGGACCAACCTCGCTCTGGAAAGACCCTTTGTCGACAAACAGGTCGCCGGTCTGCATATCAAGATCGGGGACCCGATGGCCCCGGTGTCGTCTTTGTCCGGAGGCAACCAGCAAATGATCGTCGTCGGCGGTTTGCTGAACAACGAGCCCGACATCCTGCTTTTTGACGAGCCCGGGCGCGGTGTCGACGTGCAGGCCAAACGCCAGATCTATGAAATCATCTGGGACATGGCGGCGCGAGGACTTGCCTGCATCGTGGTGTCAACGGAACTGGAAGACCTGACCGATTGCTGTGACCGCGTTCTCGTGCTGCACGAGGGCAGGCTGTCCGCCGAATTCCTAAACGAAGATCTTGACCCAAAATCACTTTACGCCGCCTGCATGACCGGCGATGACACCGGAGCCGCTGCATGACCAATACACATCTTGCGACGCAGTTGCGACGCCACTCGATGTTGCTGATACTGCTCGCACTTTATGTGCTTGTTGCCTTTACCGCTCGCGGTTTCATGACGATCGACAATCAGCTGAACATTCTGCGAAACATCGCGGTGCCGGGAATGATCGCATTCGGCATGGCACTGGTCATCATTGTCGGGGAGATTGACCTTTCGGTCGGTTCGATGGTCGCCGTATCCGCGTGCCTGACGGCCTGGGTTGTCGAAAAGGCGTCCGGCGACGCCTTCGAACCGGCCTGGTATTTTGTAGCTCTGGGCATCGCGGTTACCCTTTGTTTTGCGGGATTCGTCGGCTGGTTCAATGGAATGCTGCGTCAGCGGGTCGGCGTTCCGACCTTCATATCCTCGCTGGCGATGATGGCAACGCTGGCAGGAATGGCAAACCTGATCACCAACGGATCGGCAATAGAGGCCTTTCCCTCATGGTACTACATCATCGGCAGCGGCCGCTTTCTGGGTGTCCCGGTCCCGGTCTATCTCCTCGCAGTTGCCTTCGTTTTCACCTATGTGCTTGCGAATTTTACCACCCTTGGCCGTTCCATATATGCAGTCGGGGGCAACATGGAAGCCGCTCGGCTGTCGGGTATCGACATCTGGCGCACCAAGAAGATCTGCATGATCATCGTCGCGCTGTTCGCGGCGACCGGCGGGATCATCTATTCCTCACTGATCAACTCCGGCAATCCAACAATTGCGCGCGGAATGGAGTTGGAGGTGATCTCGGCAGTCATCATTAAAGAATGTTTGTAAGGATCAATCTGGGGTTGTGGAGTTCACGTATTGATAAACGCAATGACGCGATTCTTACCCAGTGGCAATGTCGTGCTGCGGTTAACAACTTACTGATCGCAAATTACAGGTGACAGAACACTGAAATGGGAGACCGGACAGGTCACGATGCAGAAACGCGGGGCCATGTTGCGCGATCTCCGTGTGAATTTGCCGGATGGACAGATCGTCCGTCCGTTGCACACGGCACCCTGGGCGGGAAAAGACAATGTCAGCGAACTGGACGGCCTGATGCAGGGATTGAGCGGCGAATGGCCTTGCGTCCCTTTCGGCGCCCGGCATGACAATTTGCCGCCGAGTTGGCCGAGATCTCTCGGCTGGGAAGATACGTTTGCACACGGATATGCCGCCCATCATGATTGGGAGATTTCTGCATCCGCCGGCAGTCTGGATGCACGGATCGAAATGCCCGCAGATCATCCCGTCCACTCACTGCGTCGCCGGGTACAGCCTGAGGCGAACGGGATCGTTCTTGATCTCTGGATCTTGCCGCGACGCGATTGCAGATTACCTGTCGGACTGCATCCGGTTTTTGCACTTCCGGACGACCCTTTGCGGATGCGGGTCGAGGTAAGCGGAGCCACAAAGGTCATCGCGCATCCGGAAACACCACCGCCGGATCCAACTCCGGCACTCCCTGGCGCCGTGTCTGGGAGCCTGGACGTGGTCAGGGACACAACAGGCGGTGTCGTGGATTTCAGCAGGTTGCCGCATTCCGGTCAGAACGAAACCCGATTGATGGCACTGGGAGGGAACGGGCACGTCACGATTACAGATCAATTGACGGGAATTGCCACCAAGCTCTGTTACGATGCAGCCCGGTTTCCCTTTGTGATGTTGTGGATTTCCAACCGGGGCCGTGCCGCCGAACCCTGGTCAAGCCGTCATCTTGCCTTGGGTGTCGAGCCTGTTCGCGCCGCATTCGACCTCGGGACTTGCGTGTCTGCAGATGACAACCCCGTCTCGAGACTGGGCGAGGCAACGGCTTTTGATTTCGCCGCAAACCGTGAATTTCACACGACCTACACTATTTCGGTACACGAGCCGTCGACTGCCTCACGTTAAGCGTGACCGGCAAAACGACATCCTCCCCTATTGTTCCCTTCTCCGGCGTCCGGATCATGCGCAACAATCCTGTAATCGCCTCGTTGGCAATCTGATCGATTGGCTGTGCGACAGTCGTCAGAGAGGGAAAAACGTAGGACGCCATCGGCGTATCATCAAATCCCGTCAATGACAGGTCGCGGGGTATCTCAATGCCCAGTACTCGAGCCGCGTGCAAGATGCCTATGGCGGCCACGTCACTGGTTGCCACGATCGCAGTCGCGCGAGGCGTGCAACTGAGAACCTCATGGCCGAGCGCGGCGCACCCCTGGACACTGTGTTCTGTCCCCAGCACTGTCCTGGGGGCCGGTAGCCCGGCCGTCTTGCAAGCCGCCGCTGCGCCAGCCGCACGCAAGATCACGGGTTCGGATTGTTTTGGCGCTCCAACGACCGAAATCAATTCATGCCCCAGGGTTATCAAATGCTGCGCCGCTATCAGCCCACCCAGATAGTGATCGGCGCGTACCGACTTCGCACCAATCTTGTCAAGCTGCCGGTCGAGCGCCAGAATCGGAATGCCGGCGTCCTGAAGTTTGGCAAAAACCTCCCCTTCACCGTCCACCGACGCAATCAGAACACCGTCCACCTGCTGGGCAAGCAACATGTCGACATATTTGGCTTCGTGTAACGGATCTTCCGCCGTTGAGCAGATCATTGACTGATAGCCTTGCGCAAACAGGGCCTGCTCCAGGCGATGCGCCAAACGTGCAAAGAAGTCGACCTTGATCGACGGGACCAGGATGCCGATCAGGTTGCTGCGTCCGCTGCGCATCATCCGCGCACCGGCATTCGGTCGATATCCGAGCTCGCTGATGGCTTTTTCGATGCGTTCACGCGTTGCTTCCGCGACATAGCCACTGTTGTTCACAACACGCGATACGGTAGAAACGCCCGCTCCCGCCTGACGGGCAATGTCCTTTATTGTGGCCATGTTGTCCCAATTCCACGCAGTTAACGCGCTTCGCACCCGGCAAAGCGTCATCCCGACTCATCAGCAGGTCCTGATAGATGAATGTGGCGGCTGAATGCACGATTATCCAGCCAAACTTTGAAATCCCCGACAAATCGGATCTGAAGTCCGGCAATCCGGTCTATCATTTGATACAGCCGAATTGACCAATCCCCTGATATTCACATGCCGGTTGGAATTCGCGCAGATGGAGACCAACAGCACCCGAGTGCAACTTGAAATTGAGCAGAAGACACCAGTCGAACACTTGCGTCCACAACCCGGTTTCCTGGTAAGGTCAGCTCATGTATTGAAGTGTGCGGTCGGCCATCTCAGTGGTTTGAAAGCCGCGCCATCTGGAGGGCATCGCAATAACCTTCTTCGGTGCGGACAAAGTCCCGCATTACACCTTCTTCCTTGAACCCGAGAGCCCGGTAGAGTTCGATCGCACGCGTGTTGTCGACCCAGACGATCAGGCTAATCCTCCTGATCCTGTAATAACCGTCGCACAGGCGGATCAACTCCCCGATTAACGCACGGGCGACACCCTTGCCCTGGCTCCGTTCACTTGTGACAACCATGTTCAGTTCCGCCGAGTGTGACGCGCGCGGAACGTTCGTATTCAAGACAAGTTCAGCAAATCCGGACACTTCTCCATCACTCGCTGCGACGAGTTGCACCAGGTTCGGATCCGGGGCCAACCGGTCTTCAGTGTTCTTGAGCCTCATGTGTCGCAGGCGCATCGTTCCAAGAACAACGTGAGGGCTTGTCAGGATTGCGTGCAATGCTGGCGCGTCCGCAGGTTCTGCATGGCGTATCGTGAAAGTCATGAAACCCTCCTTCGAGCGTCGCGGCCGTTCGACGAAACGGCCGCTGATTGCATCAACATAGGTCCGATCATCCGTGTTAGACCAGCCCTGCATCGCCTAGAGCCCGGTTCGCTTGGGCAGCGGAACGTACATGTGCACATGGGTCCGGGTGGAGAACTCACCTGTCATCGGTCCGTGAGTTTCACCGTCGCTGTGCCAGGCAATGGCCAGTTCGGAGATCAGTTGCTCACCGGTCAACTGGAGACAAGGCGTGATCTCCCGGACAAATTTCGCGGAGCCGTTTTCGTCGGCAGCAAAGACATTCTCCGTTCCGTTCCGGGAGCCCAGCGGCGTATCGTAAAAACCAAGAAACGGCTTGGTGGGCGGCCAGATCGCAAAGTCGTGCCACACAGTGTAGACGCCATTCGGAAGCAGGTTCTCGAATTGCAGGCTCACGACACCACTGCCATTCTCGCAGGTGTAGTGACCACTCCCCCTGGCGGAGAACCAGTCTCCCAGGGTAATTCCGAGCGGCTTGCCACGCGGCCATGGACCCGTGTTTTCTATCTGAAGGGGCGTATGCGGCACGGCATCAGCTGGCGCATAAAGCGGCGCATCCATGTTTCGCGTGGCTCCGGTCGGTCGAAACACTTCACCCGACCCGGCGACCTTTTCAATGAAAACATCCTGCTCGGCAAGGTCTTCATCGATATGGAATATGAAGGTCAGCGACATGCTTTCGTCCGCGTCATAGGCAGCATTGGCCGAGATCATTTGAACGGCATCGTCGGCCAGGGCAGGCAGAGCGAAAGACAGGGCAAGAGATGCTGCCAGGATAGAACGTCTCATGATTTTTCCTTTCAGTTTTCGGCATTGTGTGCTCAGGCAGGCCAAGGCCTTGAGCCTGGGTGGTGGTCCGCATCATGCGAACCGGGCGGGGTCCGGTGTGCGTGACAATCGCACCGGCACTGTCGTTGGCGGTTGGCGGTTGGTGGTTGGTGATTGGAACTTCCCGCTACTGCGCCTGAAGAGGAGGAGGTTGTGGCATCAGTCCGGATGGAACACGCGCCGGAACGAGATCACGCCGATCCCTGAAATCCGGATCGGTCAGGGTGTCGAGGAATGCCAGCAACTGATCGATCTCCCGATCAGTCAGGTCCACCGCCTCCAGGACATTGGCACCGGCGATGCGATTTCGAAGTTCTGCCGATGACTGGACCCAGCTGTCACGGCGATCAAACGCCTCCCGGCGTGCAGGGTTCATGGATCGGAAAATCAGCTTTGATCCTGCACCGGTCTGTTCAA